TCCTTAATCAAGAGACGTTTCACAAAGTCCTCGGCTTCTAACGACAAGGAAGGCCAAGGTGGTTCATTAAAATTTGGATCAGCTTTCAGGACTGCTCGAAAAATTCCAGACTTTTTCCTAGCCCATAATGGTCGACTCCCACATAAAAGAATATAAGCTATCACGCCTATACTCCAAACATCAGCTTCTGTGCCATAGGACCTATGTAGAACTTCGGGGACCACATAGTATGCACTTCCCACAATGTCATTAAGTCTTTCATCTGGTCTCACGAAATCCGACAAGCCGAAGTCTATGGCTTTCAGCAAAGAGTTCTCCTCCTTTGAAATATACAGAAAATTCTCTGGTTTAAGATCTCGATGCACAACACCTTGAAGATGACAAAAAGCAACAACGTTTAGTATCTAAACCATTACACCTTTTGCATCATCTTCCGTGTATTTTCCACCCCTTGCAAGCATTCTATCCAAAAGCTCACCTCCTTCACATAATTCCATTACTATATAGACATTATCATGATCTTCGAACGCATCATAGAATTTCACTAGATTGCTATGTCCTATCAAGGCTTGCAATATTTTCACCTCCCTTCTCACATCCTCAACTACAATAGTTGTTGTCATCCGATGTTTAAGCTCCTCCTTTAAGGCACTAACAAAATTTGACATGAAGAAGTCCTCTCGCAATGTAGGACTTTGAATCAGAATATAGGGCTTAAGTTCTTCAAACTTATCTTGGTACTCATTAACAGAACATTTTTGCAACAACTTACTATATTCCTCCATAATTTTCGGAAAAAATCTGTCGTTAAATCTATGACATATATCAGCTTCAAATTCATGCCATAAAACCCGATTTTTTTTGCAAAATATAGCCATCAAACCAAGTTTCGGCCTTACCTCCATTATGCATTGCAGCCATCGCCCCTCGTTCTTCAGCAATAACTCCATAAAAATGAAAGAATTTTATGCACTTTTGGATCCATCCCTTTGGATTTGTCCCTTCAATTATAGGTAATTCTATTCGAGGTCTTGGTGTCACTGATCCGAGACTCCCAAATGACCCCCGTCGTTCATCAACAAGGGCTCCTTGTGATATCTTTGTTCCACTGCTGTCACCCAACTGCAAATCTGCTTTCGGCTTCTGAGGTGGTTCATCTGGTTTGGACTTTAGAATTTCAGATTCCTCCGGTTGGTAAGTAAAGCCTGATTTTTCATTGATTATTGTCACAGCCCCCGGCTGCTTACCATCGGGTTTTGAAGGTTCAGAAGTCTTCACCTGCTGACTGTCGGGGCTTTCTGGTTCCAACCCGTCCTTCTTTCTAATCAGTATACCCAAAATTTGTTCGACATAACCTTGATATGTATTCATCCGAACTTCCAATGAGCTGATTCGATTGTCTTGCTCCTCCCACCACTTCGGTGGATTAGTGTCGTCTGTTGCGTTCTTCACCAAAAGCGTCAAATCCTCGATTTGTTTATGTAGTGCAGAAAGTTCTGGATTTTGTGTCATTGTGTGGTTTTTCTTTGGCATAACAGATATCGAAAGCCAGGAATGGAGGCTCTAAATACCAAATTGTTATAGCTCAAGTAAAAAAGAGAATTATTGAGAAGAAAGGTTTCAGAATAGAAGAAAGGAATTCAGAGAAATTGAGATTTCATTCATTCATTTCATGCCTCTTTTCTTAGTACAGTGTATTATTCATTCAGAATGTACCAAACAAGGAATGACAGCTGGCAGTCCTTTCTAACGGTTGCAATCTTTGGTGCAGGTGTCAAGGAATTCTCCACAGTCCACTCTGTTGGGCTACTGCTTGTATCAACCCAAAACTTATCTCATCTGTCTCCATTTCATCAGCAGGTAAAATCTCCAATTCATTATATGTTCTCCTTTCCCCCAATTCATCATTCAAAATCCCTAATCCATTCCCATCTTTTCTAATCCCTAACATTCCCCGAATTTCCCAATTCATTCTCTCTATGATTTTCAGAAAGAGAATAGTTTTCTTGCTCAAGAGATCAGGTGTTTATCAAATATGAGAGAAGGTAGAGAGAGAGTGAGTGAGTCTTTCAAGAGCAAGTTCGTTGTCGATAATTTTAGAGAGGTTCATGGAGGAGTTACTTGGTCAGCTTTCGTCGATAATCTTAGTAGGCAAGTGAGACGCAGTGATTTATGGATTCTCTTTAGTCGTTATGGTAAAGTCATTAAGGTGTTCATTCCTCTTTTCAATAATAGACCGAAGTATAAAGTTAATACGTTCGCGTTTGTCCATTTCGAAAGCAAGGAAGATCTGTGTAATGCAGTGGAAAAGATGAACAACGTCTTGATTGATGGGAGGAGAATTTCAGTGACTGTAGCTAAATATAAGAAACATTCTGGGTTGAGGAGGCAGATTGCTGGGGGGTTGAGGGTGCAACTAGTGTTGGTATTAGAGGGCGAAAGGTTGGAAGATTGTCTTCTTCAGCTGGAAGGGTAAGGAAGTCGGAGATGATGAATAGGTTTCATGATGGAAGGTCTTATTCAGATGCGGTTGTTGGGTACATAAAGAGGCAGAGGTTGTGCAAGAGGTGAATCTTTCAAATACGAAGAAAATGAATAACACTAGGGATGTGTTTATTCCGGTGGAGGAAAGGGCTTGGTTGAGATCGTCCCTTACTGGTATTTGCAAAGAGATTCATGAAATTCAAATTTTGCAGAAAGCATTAAGGAATGAGGGCTTTAATGTAAAGGTTGTAAGGTGGGGCTTTGCTAAGAATGCTTGCTTGGTCGTGTTCCAATCTATGGATGAGATGAAGTCAGCGATGGAAAGAAAATGGGAAGAGCTGTCTTTCTGGTTTGATAGTTTGGAGCCTGTGTTCGATGAGGACAACATTCCCTTAGCTTATTGCTCGATCTCCATGATAGGAGTCCCTTTAAACTGCTGGTCGGTTCCTTTCTTTACTAGGTTGGTATCCAAGTGGGGTAAACTAGTAAAGATCAAAGATGAAACTGCTCAAAAAGTGGACTGCAGAGTGGCGCAAATGATCCTGAGGGTTTTTAGTCCTTTTGACATTCCTGATCATACTACTATTACAACGTGTGGGAGGAAATTTCTGGTCAAAATTAAGGTTGAAGGTGGTGATGTTTTCTTTCCTGAGTTGTCAGAATTTGTTGAAGATGATGTTCTAGAGGAGCCATGGGCGGAGAGCTCTTCCAATTGGAGCGTAGAGGATGTTCAGGTGAAGCATGGAGGCCACATGGGTTGTCAAGGGTTGTCAGAAATCCATAAAAGGGTTCAGGATTGGGTTCAGGGCTCGCATCATAGTAAAAGTACAGAAACCGAGAGAGTTGTCTCCACTCGGCATGAAAAGTCGAGAGGCTTGTTTGTAGGGATGGATAGTGGGAAGAGTGTGGGGGGAGATTCCTATGCGCTTGATATAGATGACAGGGAGTTTGGGCTTCAAAAAGGACTAGGAACATTTAGGTTGTGTGGTCCGGATCAAGATAATGGTCCAATTTCAATGGGTTGTCCTACTTTTTCAACAGATAAAATCAAGGATCTAGTGGGTATCGAAGATGGAGACGGGCCTGCTGTTGGTTTAAAGTTGTTAAATTCAAGAGCTGGTTCACAAGCAGGTTCTGCAAGCTCGTTATCCATGAAGACTGCTCCGGTTGCTAGGAAACTAATCAGAAGTCGCAAGATATTTTATAGCAGGTCGAAATGCAGAAAGATTTGGAATAATATTGTGCAGGATTGGAAGAATGAGCAGGAAGGAAAGCAGGTTTCCCGAGGGGCGTTAAATGATGAGCTAAGCAGGGATTTAATTTCTAGAGGTTGTCTGTCTGAAGTTGCTGAGGCAGCGGGGTTTCTGCAAGGGACAATGACGGTCCTAGGCCGAGGAGAATTAACAGGAGATTTAAAAGATCCCTCATTAGGGATGCTATGGATCATGCTAGTGTCTCTACATTATCTTCATCAGCTTTTCCTTTGTTGGTGGAGGAAGCTATTGCTACATGGGAAATTAGCAAGTTATTGGGAATATCTTTCAAAGAAGGGAAGAAAGCTTTTCTACAGAAGATTATAGAGTTGGAGAAAGGATTGAGTAGGGCTCCTTGAGTTAGTATGTTTTTCCTTCGAGTTTAGGTATTATTAATCTAGAGTATCATGCCTAAGCTTATTATTTTGTCTTGGAACGTTAAGGGGTTGGGTAGAAGAGAGAAGCAAAGAGCTGTGCAAAAATTAGTTTCGGAGAAAAATCCTACTTTTCTATTTCTTCAAGAAACAAAACTCGAGAATTTACCAAGATATTTTTTAAGGAGAAGTGGTTTGAATAGGTTGCAGAGGTTCGTTGAGTCACCAGCAGAAGGTTATTCTGGTGGTTTGTTAAGTTGCTGGGATGATAGTTCCTTTGTGGTAGAAGATCGTCATATTCACAAGAGGTTTATTGCTATTTTCGGGAAGTTCAAATCCAATCATTTTAGGTGTGGTTTCATAAACGTTTATGGTCCATCTGTGGAGGAAGAGAAGGCTGGTTTCTTTGAAGAACTGGGACTGTTTTTAAACGGGTATAGTATCCCTTTTTGTGTGGGAGGGGATTTTAACGCATATTTATTAGAAGATGAGAAGGAAGGCATGGATCACAATAGAAACTCTATGGAAATCTTTAGTCTGTTTATCCAACAAACGGGGCTTATTGATTTACCTCTTATTGGGGGAAACTTTACCTGGAGTAGTAATAGGGATTTTCCTACTGTTGTTAAGCTCGACAGGTTCTTGGTGAGTGCTAGTTTCTCAGCAAAATTCTCTGGGATCAACCAATTTTTACTGCCAAAATCTATATCTGATCATAATGCAATTTTTATTGAGTGTGTGGAAGATAATTGGGGAAAGTGACCTTTTAGGCTGTTCAATTATTTAATGTCTAAGAATGGGTTTGAGGAGAAGGTTGTGGAGTCATTTAAAGAATTTAAAAAAGACAAGAAAAGAGCTGGAATTTTGAGTATACTTAGGAATACAAAGAATGCCATTAAAAGTTGGTCTGGGGATAAGAAACAGTTCCCTTTCCCTATTGTTGTTTAATTTTGTTGGAGAACTGCTTAATCTGCTGCTCCGTAAGGCAGTATCTTCGGGTCTGTTTTGTGGCCTGATTGTTGGTTGCGATGAGGCTTCTGTTAATCTATCTCATTTGCAATTCGCATATGATCTGATTATTTTCTGCAGTGCATCAAAGACACAGGTAATTAATGTTAAGAGGATCCTACACGTTTTCGAAGTTATGTCAGGCCTGAAATTGAATCTGTCTAAGAGAAAATTATTTGGGATAAATATTGATGAGGAAGAGGTTCTTCAGTGGGCTAATGCGGTTGGATGTTCAGCAGGACATTTTCTTGCGGAATATTTGGGGTTGCCTCTTGGTGCTAAGAGGAGTTCGCTATTGTTGTGGGATCCGGTTGTTCAAAATTTTTATAAGAGGTTAGTAGGTTGGAAGGCTAAGACTTTGTCAATGGCAGGGAGGTTGATTTTAATGAAGGCAGTTTTGAGCTCCTTGCCTACATATTTCATGTCTTTGTTTAAGATACCGTCTTCGGTGATTGCAAAGCTTAATTACATCATGGCCATATTTCTATGGGGAGGAGGGGTGGAGGCAAAAAAATTCACTGGGTCAATTCGTCGACTGTGTGCGCTGGAAAGACTGTTGGGGGTCTTGGTGTTCTGGATATTGGTTATATGAATAGAGCTCTCCTAGGGAAATGGACGTGGAGATTTGCAAACAATATGGAGTCAGTGTGGAAGAAGGTTATTTGTTGTAAATATAATCTGGACCCTAATTCTCTGATGTTTAACGAGGAACTAACTGCATATGCTTCTTGGATATGGAAATCAGTGGTCAATAATCACTTTAAATAGGATCAGTTTGGAGCAAAGTTCCGAAGTTTGTTTAAAGTTAGAGTGGAGGATGGAGGGAGTATCAGATTTTGGTATGATTGTTGGGCGCATGATACCCCTCTAAATTTGGTTTTCCCAAGAATGTTTGTTCTTTCGGTAAACAAGTATGGGAAGCTTAATGAGTTTGGGGAGTTTCGGTTTGCAGGCTGGTCTTGGCATGTTCAATTGAGAAGGAATTTAAGTGATTGGAAACTGGATCAATTCTCTGATTTAATGGCTTTAATTCATAATATCACTCTTTCACTTGAATGTTCTGATGGGTTAGTCTGGAGAGGGAATGGGGAAGGAGTATATACTGTCAACTCGAGTGTAAAGTCATGTTGTCCTGCAAGTACAACAGATTCTTTTTGGATGAAGTACGTTTGGAGGGGTTTGGTGCCTCCGAAAGTGGAGGTATTTATGTGGCAAGTGGTGCTTCAGAGATTGCCAGTTAAACTAGAATTACAGAGGAGGAGTTTCAGCTATTGTTGACGCTGTTTGCCCTTTATGTAACAAGGCAGATGAGTCCTCAACACATTTATTTTTTACTTGTGTTGTGGTGTGGTCTTTATGGAATAAATTTTTGAATTTCTGGGGAGTTTGTTCTTTTCAAGCCAATGCTCAAGATTTTTTGTTTGCTTGGGAGGATTTGATACCTAATTCTAAAATTTGGTCCTTCATTCCGGGTGTGGTTCTATGGTCAATTTGGAAGTGGAGGAATGCCATTGTGTTCGATGGGGGGAGTTTAGATCAGAATGATCTATTTTTTATGGCAAGAAGTAGGTTGGCGTCTTGGTTCTTAGCTAACTTCAAGGATGTATATATTCCTAAGGACTCTCTCATTAGTGATCTATCACTTGGGGATAGTTGCTCTTATTCAAGCTCTCCTATTATCAAAATTGTGCCCTGGTCACATCCTCCAAAGGGCTTTATAAAGTTGAATGTGGATGCGACAGTGACTGCAGACTGGAGGAAAAGTGGTGTTGGAGGCATTCTTAGAGTTGAGGATGGCTCGGTGGTTGGTTCTTTCAAAGAGGCTGCTGGTCCAGGTCCTCCTATCTTGATAGAGCTTATGGCAATTAAGAAGGGCTTATCCTATTTTACTTCGATTCAACAACGTTTTAAGGAACGTTTAATCGTTGAATCTGACAGTAAATTAGCAGTGGATTGGGTCAAGAATAAAGAACGATGTCCCTTGGTCTACATTGATTTAGTGAATGATATTGGTGATAAGTTTAGAGGTTTGAATGGTATTATTAGATGGGTTGCTAGGTCAGCCAATGTTGAGGCTGATACTCTAGCAAAGGATGGTATTGGATAGATACATTGTTCTGGTTGTTTTAGGTTATCTTTTCGCTTGGGTTTGATTTGTTGTAAAAGGTGTCTGTGTGGTTGTTTTTAAGTCTTATGTAACTAGAGGTTATTAATGAAGTTTTTAGGCTCTCTTTCCTCCTTCCGCTGATTAAGGAGCACATTGTGATCCATTAATCAAGAAGGGGGTTTTAACGAGGCCTACCATTCCTATCAAAAAAAAATTCTCTCCGTGATTTTCTCCTTCTTCTCGCCCAACCATAACAGTGACTCTATGAGAACTTAGTAGGGTAAAATCCATGAACATAGCAATTAGCAAGGCTACCAACCTATGGGGTAAAGCAAGTGTAGGGAACTCCCAAATGAGCCAAAAATAAGGCCAGCCTAGATCTAATAGCACCCAAAATGGAAGAGACCCTTGAGAAAACAGAACAAAGACAATCTAGAAAGGCTGGCTAAATTAAATCAATATGTTGCTAAATTGTGCTAGAGACAGGACAATAGGGACAAAGAGACCATTTAGAAAACAAAAAAAGACAATCTAGAAAGGCTGGCTAAATTAGATCCATATGTTGCTAAATTGTGCCAGAGACGGAACAGTAGGAGCTTTTCTGCAAATAAAAAGCAGTGCAATTGAATAGGCCCATGTTTCAAAAGATATGGAAGAGGAAGAAGCAATAGCATGCATTAATAGGCTTCAACCACATGAATTTTAATGATTCCTGTTCTTCAAAACCAAACATCTAGCATCAAAAAGGCATGGCAAGGTCTAATCTTTCTCCACTTATCAAAATTCAAAATTCAAAAAAATATCAATGAAGAGCAAACTATCAAATTGATATATTTTTATCATAAAAGAACTGATAAAATATTTGCAGCAAATAATATCAAGCAGAAAACAACATACAACAATTTCAAGCTAATATAAATTGTCACATTTTTTGGGGGGTACAATTCCAGAATTCCTATCATGATACAACACTTCAAACCCAAGCCTAGAGAACTAATAAGTTGCCCAGAAGTACCAGATGAATCATCTTAGCATGATTGTAAAAATCACACTAGTGATGTCCTTGAGCTCTCTACATGTCATATGCACCCCAGGCACCAGCACCAGGTCCGTACTGAGGATAACCATCCACACCACCCTGTACCTCAGATAAAAGGAAGAAAGATGAAAAATAACCAATCAAGAAAAATGAAAAATAACCAATCATTCTTTTAACAATAATTAATGAATACATAACTTGCAAATGCAGCTCATATACAAGTCCATATAAATTTAAACTCGCACACATTAAAAATAGTCAAGCACATATATAAAAAAGCATAACTTACAGGATTAATGCCATAGGTGACAGGATAAGTGTTTCCGGTATATCCAGCTTCAGGGTTCCCATAATTTGCATTATAACTAGCTACTACTGAAATGTTCGGAAAAAAATATTGTTATTAACTCACGTAGATAGAAAAATCAAGCTCCTTACCAGTACATCAAGCCTCGAAAGTTTAAGGATCATCACTAGTCAAATAATATAACTGGTGAACTAATGAAACAGCTAACTAGACCCTATGTTAAATAAGATGTCGAGGAGCTTCGGCCAATAGAAATTAGCATTAAAAAGATAAAAAGGCAGATTGAACGAGTAAATTAGATCGAACTTCTAAAAACTGATTTGTGTACTTCCCATGTTGATAACACATGATAGCCTCAAGCCAGATTGAAAACCAACCAAGCCTCTAATAGAAAAACTTGTAACCAAAGATCATGTCCTAAAAATTGAAAACCAGAAGGAGAAGCAGCTGACAGTGAGAAACAGGAAGCAAAAGACATGGAGATAAGGTCATCACTGATGGAAAAAGCAAACTGAAACAATTATCTCATGGAAGGCCTACATACCATGATTACCACCACTACCAGCAACAGCATGACTTCTCTTCCCTGCATTCGTATTTGCAATCTCTGCACGAAGTTTTTCCAACTCCCGAGCCATTGAGATCAATTTTTTCTCCATCACTTGACCGTGTTCATAATTCTCCGCATATCCTTTCTTCTCATACTCAATGGCAGATCTTCATGTCCAAAAAGACACACACATACACATCAGTAAACTTCCTCAAAACAAATTAACAAAGGCACATAAATGATTCAAAAACATCTACCCATTCATGCAACTATTTTTTATTCTCAGAGGGAGTCTCTGGTAAAAAGAAAGCAGAAGAAATGAAAACAGAAAGAGTAAAATGTGACCTCGCACGATGCAGTTCCTGTTTAACATTTTCAATCTCTGCCTTCAACGCAGGAGCCTGTTGCAATTCTCCAGTAAATCTAGACAAATCTCGACTCATGACTTGAACCTGACCTGTCAGATCCTGCCTCGCAGCATTAAGCTGCTTAATATCAGCATTAACCTTAACAAGCTCAGATCGCATGGCCTCCACCCCTCGAAGATCAACTTCCAATCGAACTGACTTATCATACATCTCCTTCATCTGAGCATCCTTCTCCCCCCTCAAAGAATCTGCATATTGAGCCATGCGATGTAACTCATGCTGAGAAGCCTCCAGTTCTTGTTTTATTGCAACATGAGTTGCTGCCAGACTCTGGTTGTCCGCTAGGAGGCCTTGAATATCTTGCAGTTGAGCTGCAAGACGATCCTCAAAGATCGCAGGGTGGGGAGGGATGCCCCTAGGACCCAACGGTCCCAACCCAAATTGGTTTTCACGTAATTCATTAAGCAAGGCTGGATGTGGTGGCCTTGGTTCTAGCCCTCTTGCATATGGAGGTTCATGTACTGGAGGCATTAGTCCGGGATGAGGAGGCCCTTTCATTGGAAGTGGCGATGGCCCACGATTTCTTCCAGACATAACTTGATTAACTATCCTTCTTTAAAATCAATGTGAGAGAGTTCTGAAGAGAATTATGTAATTTATATCAAATATCGAATAAATTTTTTAAACTTAACAAATAAATTAATGAAAATAAAATGAAGGCAAATTTCCAAATTGTAAAGAAAATTGCAACTATAGAAACTAAAACTAACGGGACTGTTTCATTACCTGGAAAATTAAAAAAAATGTATTCTACATATAGAAATGACAATTAAAATTTGCAGTATTAAACCTAAAGATAAATATTTGCCTACATGGAGTCGAAGAAAAATTCAGCGAAAAGCAACCGTATCGCTTTTCGGGTATCAAACGGCAAGACATTTTCATTTGCATAAAATATAATTTATCAAATAAATAACAGACAAAATTATGATCACTGACCTTTGGCTTCCAATTGATCTCGACGAATTGATTTGAGAGAAAGAGAAGGGGGCACGTTCTAAAGGAATTATATTTTATTTTCGCTGGAAACCCTATTACCCTTACACGTGGGTTAACAAAATCAATTTGATTAATGAATTGTTTAACTATGTTAATTATAAAATGAGTGAACAAATTTTTCATAAATAGATGTTAATTTTTCATAAATAGATGTTAAAACTTTTTTTGAATAATTAAAGTATCTGATGTTATAAACGTTATCTTTTTAGGTGTCCGAGACGTAAACTCCTTTAAAAATTTCGTTAAGTGACACATGTCACGCTCTGATAATTTTGTTTTTTTTTTAAATAAATTTTTAAAATTATTATATTTATAAGGCTTAATTATAAAATAAGTGCTCAAACTATTGCGTTTTTCATGAATATGTGTCTAAACTATTTTTGAATGATCTTGGTGCTTAACATTACAAACTTTATCACTTTAGATGTTCGAGCCGTAAACGTCATTAATTTCCCTGTTAAGTGACATGTGACAAATCTTGATAATTTTAAAAAATTTATTTAAAATTAAAAAATTAAAATTATATGTTTAAAAATACACAAATTTTGAAATACCTCAAGACTTTGAAAACCTTTATTTTAACCCTTAAACTCACACATGCAACTGCCCTTTGCCACCAACGAAGCTCCACATGACCTCACCTCCCCTGACGATCAATACCCCTATGAAATCGTGATCGATTGACGGCCAATCGACGTTTTATACCCCACTAACCCTAGGATGAAAATCATGATCCCACGTGATTCCGACGACCAATCAACGACAACTATGACAACGTATGACTAGGAGGATGGCAAGGACTACGGTGGTAGCGAGTTAGGGTAATGGATTTAGGATTTTTATGAATTTATGGTTTACGGTAATTTAAGAGAAATTAGGATTTTTTATAAATTTAATAATAATTTTAGTTTAAAAAAATTCAAAATTACCAGAATGTTATACTTGTCACTTAATAGAGAAAACTAACGACAATTATGGCCCGGGCACCTAAAGTGGAAACATTTGTAATGTTAAACACTGTAATCATTCAAAAAATAGTGTAGGCACCTATTCGTGAAAAGCACTATGTTTGGGTACTTAATTTATAATTAAGCCTATTTATAAAAAAATCCTATTTTTTTAAATTACAAAAAAGTCTCAAATCCTAAAAACCCTAAATTCCTAACTCTAACCTCCCTTGTCGGCCATGGTCGCCGACGCCGCCCTTGTCATCTCGTTGGTCGACCTTCGTCTCCCTTGTAGTCATGCGCGTTATTAGATCGCATGAGTGTAATACCCCAAACATCGAGTCAGTGACTAAAGTGTAAGGATTTAAAAGTTCGTGGTTATCTTTTGATAAATTGAAAGTTCAAGGACTAATTTTGGAAAATATTGTCTATGACTTATTATCAAAGATTGAAAGATTAAAGGGCAAAGTGGTCTTTTGACAAGAAATGAATTTAAAATTCATTTTAAGGGTTATTTAACATGTGAGTAATAAAGATAAGGAAAGAAAAATCTGGAACTCCTCTTCTACCTTTCTCCACCGAGACCCACAATGGTTAAGGTAAGTTACTTTCAAGTTGGTCATTTCCTTAATTTTTGAGTTGGTTTTTAGTCCTTGGATGATATAAAAGCTTAAGAAAGCTTAAAGATAACTAAAAACCATGGAATTTGTGAGTTATTGGTGAATTAGTA